AAATCAGCTCCTTCATAGAATTCTGGTGTATTATTGAGCACTACACTTCGGTAACACAAGGTTGCTAGTGTCAAAGACTCACATAGCCCAGTTTGCTATTCCTGTGCATTTTTGAATGAAGAAAAAAAAAATGAAAGAGTGGCCCAAAGATTTCAAATGATTTCATGAAACTCAGTCAGTCTTCCCTGAAAATTAATGAAATCTATTTTCTTAACAGCCACTATGACTTTGCCAAAAGAACGCACCTTGTATTTCGAGTGAGGCAGCCAAAGAGATTTTTTTTTTCCAGTGGAGAGATTAATAGGAGTTCCTTCAGGGAAATAAACTCTTTTCTCTTTACCAGAAACAACAGCTAAGAATTTGAAGTGGAGGTGGGAGGTATCAGATAGAAATATAAAGGTTGTTGCCTTTTTAATGCATAGGTTGTGATTTTCTTTCCTAAGGTCAGGTACCCCGAGTTCCAGTTTGTGTAGCTTAAGGATGTTGGTGGGGTGCTTGGACAGGTTTGTGTGACCATATCCATAGTGGCTCCGTGCTCCTCGTGGCTGACAAAAGCTGGCAGGAGGGGACAACTGCCTGGACCAGGGGGTGGCTAATACCCCTTACGAGAGGACCTGGGCCTTATTGCCTTATTGTGTCTTGGACATTAGTAACAGCTCTTCCAAATTCCCCGGCTGTAACCTGCCTCACTCTGCCTGGATGAAATTGAATAGAATTAGATGTGATACTGGAACAAGTGATTCTGCTCTGTAGCAACGCGATGGAAAGATTCTCCTTGTTGCAACTGTGGTGCCAATGTGCAAACGAGCAAACCTTTTGGGCAAGAACGCCCAAGAGGTGTGTTTCCTGGCTCTTTGAAGATCTGCACAAAGCAACAGCAGAGGCGATCGCCTGGTTAGCTGAGCTAGACATCCAGCTATGAGGCCCCTGTAGAAGGTGTGTGTATATCTGTGTGGATTGTGTGTATCTATTTGCTTTTCTCATCATGAACTCATCATACACTAAATAATAACTGGTTAATAATAATACCTGGGCCCACGCAAGGGGGAGGCCACTCATGAAAAGCCCCCTCTGTTAGGCCAGTGCAAATGCCCCCTTCCTGGGTAAGGTGACAGAACAAGAGAGGAGCAAAGAGGAAAACGTGGTGGCAGAAACGGAGTGAGAAAAAGGATGGTAGAAAGAGAGAGGGGGAAAGGAGGGGCAGGAAGGGAGAGGGAAAAGGAGTAGCGGTGCTGATGTTTGGGTCAGGCCCCCCCATAAATGTCATGCCAGGCACCCATGAGCCTCCCTCGCTCCCGCTGCGGATATTCTGAGGGTCCGGCCTGGAGGCTGCAACGCACGCTTGGAGCTTTCCGCAGTTGAGTGCCACGAATCAGCCTGAAAGCTTCCAGCCCCATGTCCCTTTCTGCTTAGACTGTGTCATGGGGAATCTTTAATTGCATTAATCAAGGCCATTAATAGGAAGAGCGGTTGATATGCTCCATCATAAAGGCAGTGCTGAGGGAGCGCTGGTCAAATTAAGATGAGACTGAGATAATTAAGGAAGCTCAAAGCAGAGAGATAAGCATGGAGACCTGATCTGGGGGCTTACACAACAAGGCAACATGGAGAGAAGTTGGCATTCTAAGTTGCATCTGTACGTGCTTTTGACTCTTACGTTCACTGAGGCCAGGAGATTTCCAGGCAGGAGGTTCCCATGGGACACATGTGTGGCAAGTCTGGATTGTCACAACTTTTCACAAAAAGGGTGTTCCAATTAGGCATGGGTCAGTTTTGATTCCTTCCAGGTTCACTGTCAAAAAACCAAAATAAAAATACTCCCAAGTTCTTTCTTTCTTTCTTCAGTATGGAGAGTTTGCAAAGTTTTTCTAAGTTTTTAGCAAACAATGAGCTAAGTAAAAATTCTCATGCATCGACACCTGCCAAACTCAATAGGCACAGCTATTCCCAGCAGGGAAAGTGCCTGCAGTACACAAAAGCTGCTAAAGAAGAGGAAGAAGAGGTGGAATAAGCAAGTGGGTGCCCAAATTCACAGCACAGGTACGGTCGAATGCACGGAGTTTTTCATCTCAACTTTTCACAGCAAGGCAATCAAAGCATCCTCTGTTTTGGTTTCTCCCACATTTTTTAAAAATCTCAACTTTGAATGTAATTAAGATGGAGAATTTCACGAAAGCTGATGAAGCCTTACTAAAACCAAGTAGGAATGAAATGCTCACCTACCCTTAGTTCCAGGATGCCATTTAGAAATTCGCCACTGTGTAACATTCGTGCCAGGTGGCTGTTAGAGGAAGTTCGTTATCTCTCGCCTGTAGAGGTCAAATGGAATTGAGCTGTAATTAACCTTCCCTGCTTTTGTAGCAGGTGGCTTCCTCTGATGCCGGCAAGTCATTTGAAAAATTGCCCCCAAATAGCTTCAGAATTGCATCCTCAGTTGGTTCTAACAGGAATGCCCTGCAAGCTTGCAAGATTCGCATTTCTAACTCGGTCTGGGTAATTTGGTGCCACCTCCTCCTTTTTATGAAGTTTGTCTTTTTCCTGGCCTTTTCGGACCGAGAGGTCACAGCTGCCATTCCATTTGCTGGAAGGGCTGCAAAGTCTGAATTGCCCGTCCCTGTTGAGAGGGAGACTGGCTGCGGCAATATGAAAATTCTGCTTGCCACCTAGACCTGCGATGGACCATCTACACATTCAGCAGATTGCTCAATGCCACAAGTAGGCATTTGCAACCAGTCTCTGAGATGCCGAGGATTCGCTATCACAGGTGGCATCCCAGGCTTACCTGCAGACCTCTGTGACGGATCCTAGCACACTTCCACTCCTCAGAATTTCCCAGAAGCCAAAGGACTCAAGAAGAGCCCTCCTAAACCAGGCCAAAGCTTCCTCTAGCCTAACGTCCGATTTTGCCCTAAGGCTGCAATGGAACCAGGGCTTTCCAGAGGATGAAGTGCCAGCGTGGTTTGATTTGCAGGGCATGGGCCTCACCTGCCACCTTCCCCAGACCTTCCTGCTCCTCGAGTTCCTTGGAAGGAAAAGGGCGAGATATAAATATAATACATAAATAGGTTTAGCAGCAATGTTCGCAGCAGCTGGTGGAAATTCATTTTCCCACCCACTGAAGAACATTTAGGGTGACAGGTGCTCAAAACCTGTGCGGACTGGAAGAAGCAGCTACTGTGCAGCATCAGTCATGGAGGAAGAAGCAGGCCATCTTAGCTCGGGGTGTCTAGCTCCTCTCAGCCTGAGGATCACATCCAGTTTTGCACGATGCTTTTCGGGCAGCATTGGAGAGGTGGGCGAGGCTGCCTGCAGGAGAGCCTGCTGACTCCCGTGCCAGTGGCATCGGCTGGATGCTTATTGCTTTTATTTGGCTATTTTCTTTCAATCGTATTATTTCATTGTGTTGGGTTTTTAATCTTGTTGTAAACCATTTGGAGAGCCCCCGTCTAAGTGGATGGGATGTAAAAGTTTAAATAATTAAATAAGAACACACTCTGGGTCACCCGCTTCCATTTTATGGTCTGTAGACTCTACATGGCTGCATTTTACAATCCATTTATGAAGGTTGTGTTGTGACACATCAAGGGATTGTTGTTTGGCACTAAGTTTTAACTAACACTGTACATATGGAGGAAGGGAGAGCAGGGGAGAGGGCGAGCAAGCAAGCGAGAGAGCATTTTGTTTTATGGGACTCCTGGTGTCCCCTTTCCTCTCCAATAGTATACACCTCTTCCTCTAAGTTGGCTGTAGTCTTTGATTTATGTCAACTTTGATACCCTGATCCATTCATGTGTTTGCCAAAAGGACTGGCAGAGGCTTCCTAACATTAGGGTAAGTATTTTTCTTCGGGAGATGGTGGTCTATAAGGAGAAGTACAGAATGGTCTTGCATTAAAGTATGTAAGCCAACACTCCAAAAGCCGTGGGCATAATATTAAGGAAAGAACGTCAAAAGAACTTTGGTGGATGAGACCAGAGCTCTTTCTCACTGGGCAGTCTGTTCACACCATGATGGGATGACTCGGAGCAGATATCGCCCTCTTGCTCATCACCTGCTTGGTCATGTTCTCCAGCACCTGTTCTTTGGTGATGTGCTGCCTGTGAACATGGAGACTCCAGACATGGAGACCTGCCACACAGTCTTAGCATGGCCACAGTGCTGAGGTGGCAGCGTCATCTAGCTACAGGGAACTCTTTCCACATCACTCCATCTCCAGATTCTGGAGCATGCTTAACGCATTCATTTCATGAAGGGCTTTAGTGAACTCTGTTGGGCCCCATCAGCATCATTGCCCCACAGGAAGTGAGAGGCCAAACTCAGATACATGCTATAATTACTCTCTTGCAACATCAAGAGACATTATAGGGAACGGTTAAGGAGATGCAAGGAGGAAGTGATAATACTGGCCATGTGCCTTTCAGGAAAGCTTGCCTGTTGTCATTGCTGTCATGTGCCACCAAGTCATCTCCAACTTATATTGGCCCCGTGAATGAAAGTCCTCCAGGATGTCCTCTCCCAGACAGCCATGATCAGCTCTTGTAAACTTGTGGATTCCTTTTTGGAACCAATCCATCTCATATCTATAAATCTCATATTTAGAAAGCTTGTCTACAAATACTGAATTTCCCCCACTAATCTTCTGAGGACAACAATTGGGAATCCACTGTCAGCAAGTCTGGGCAGCCATCTGATTGGGATATTAATCCACACTGTCTTCTTAGTACTGGTTAGACTGGCACAGACAAGTTATGTATTTGTACAGCTATTTGCAATGCATACAGAGAACTTAATTTAATAAAATATCTAAGCAGTTCACATATATATTAAACATCCACCAAGGATTATGGAAGCAATAGAAGCCTTGTGGAGGAGTTTACTGGGGAGGTGGCAAATGTTTTGCTCACTGCAGATGTCTTATGGAAGGGCACACAGAACTTTAGAGCCAACCTTATTCCATTTGTGATTAATCTCGGCATCTGCTTGCTGTGTTTCCCCCCAAGGTTTCTGACAACTGTGATGCCATCTTTGTCAATGGGAAGGAAATGAAAAGCAAAGTGGGCACTGTCATGAACTTCACGTACCAGCATTTCACCACCCAGCTCGAAATCACTGTCTGGGTCCCACGACTTCCTCTGCAAATAGAGATCTCTGACACGGAACTGAGCCAGATCAAGGGCTGGAGGATCCCGGTCACTTCCAACAAAAGGTATGGGTTTCGTGCCTGCGAATCGGGCCAGCTATCCTTCTAGCACCGTATCTTGTTAGCCAGGCCCCTTTGGGAGGCCCACCAGGGCTGCATGATGGCGATAGCAGTCACCTCTGCGCGTTAATCCTCGACATCTGGTTGCTGCAAGCGTGCAGTTTAAGTACGGGGTTTGGCAGGGCCGGTTATGAATATTCAGCATGCAAATCCATGTTCATCATCAGGATAAACACCTGCCAAAATCCTGGCCTGGCCTGGCCTGGCCTTGAAGTGTGGGTTGTGGTGTTGTTCAAGCGTTTGATGCCATACCTCCTTTATTTAATTTTTGCGAGCTACCACGAGGGCATGGCGGATCAGACGAAAGGCCTGTCTAGCCCAGCATTCTGTCCACTGTTGTTGCCTGCAGGAAGCCATAGGTCAATGGTGGAGGTTGTGCTTTGCATGTAGAAGGTCTCGGGTTCAGTCCTGGGCAGCACCAGGAAGGACAAGGAGGTCCTGCTAGAAACCCTGGAGAGTCACTGTTGGTCTTTGTTAGCAACACGGGACTAGATGGACCTATGGGCTGAACTGGTAGAAGGTTCCTAAGCCCAGACTCTGAGAGCAGTAGCCCCCTTTTCCTCATGTGTCCCTGCAACAAGAACACAGAGGCAGCGGGGCAATTCATGCGAGTCCATCAAATCCATTTGTCCTTGTTCCACTGCTTCTCATGATCTGGATCCTTAAGGCACGTCAGTCCTTGTTTCCCCCAGAAAACTTTGCATGGCTCCTATTTCTGCCCCCAAGAACATATACCTTCAGTAGAGTTATTGTGGGAACAGAGCACTGCATTGCCCAAGCAAGCGCACCAAGAATCGGTTCAGGGCAGAATTACATGGCAGCCAAAGGATGGAAGAAAATCCTCAACGACTGCTATTAAAATTCGTTTGGCTTCTTCAGAGCCTCTGAAGTTCTGCCCAACAGGGAGGGACAGAAACTCAGACCAAATGCTGTTCTTTCATAGAATTACAAGGTTGGAAGGAAATACAGGATTTGCAATGCAGGTTGCAGCTCCTGGTTAGTTCTAATTCTTTCCTCTGGAGCTACAGAAGACGTGTCTTCTCATCTTGTGTTACTTTTATTGTCCTGAGGGGTTTCCCTGCTCCATTTCTGTTGAATTTTGGCTGAAATGAGATAATTAAAAATATAATAATAATTCTGGGACTTGCGTAAATACAATTTGACATATATTAAATTTCCTTCAGCTCCTCCTCCTCCTCCTCTCATATCATTGTCACCAGCAAACTCCATGGAACTGTTGATATTCGGCAAGGAGCGGCATAGAAATGTAATAATAATAATAATAATAATAATAATAATAATAATAATATGATCACATCAAAATGTTCTGCTGTGGTGTTTTGCTATTGTGCATTTATTTCTGTGCATCGGCAAAGCGTCATTCAAAACGAACCTGATGCAACTGGACCGACAATCGCTACTCATTTGCTCGATTGTTCTATCCATGTGTTTTAGCATTCCATGTACATGTTCATGCAGTGTGCATATGTGTGCGTGGAAGATGGATGGAGGGCGCTGAAGGAAGCCGCAAACTGCCCATGCGGAGTGCTCTTTTTCAAATTCTGAAAGAGAAAGGGAAGCAACATCAGTTCTACTTCAGAAGCATGAGCAGCTGATTTGGATGGCAAAGATGTGTGGTGACACTTGGAGAAATTTCAGAAGCGCCCCTAATTGAATGATTAAAACCAGCTAGGAATGTAGGAACATGCCTCGTCCCAAAAACTGTGCAAATGTGTGGCTGATTTAGCCAGGAGAGGACTTCTCCAGCTTCTGGCACCAGACTGTGGCATGACCACAGACGCCAGGAGGCAAGCCTGGGACTTCCTCAGTTTGCTATCCTTGAGAGCTGCCCTTCCATGGCTGGGGGTTAGCCAAAGGGTGAACCAATGGAACATGTGCTGGGCTCTAAAGGAACACAAGAGTCTTTTAACGGTTATCACCAGCATTGGCGTAAAGAGAAAGGACAAACCCATCCTTCTGCTGATGAACTGCCTCATCTGGTTGCCTCCCATTTGCCGTATTGTTGAGACTTCGCTTGTGCAAATGTCTGCCGAGCTTTTTGTGGCGACAGATCCATTACCGGAATAAACTCACGGTCGCAGATGCATCACGTCTCACATCCAGCAGCCGTTAGCCAGTGCAAATGTTCTGACTTTCAACTCATTATGCTGAGTGCATGAGATTTAACCCCCCAGGTGTCTAGTTCATATTTATTGGGCCAGCTGAAATAAAAGAGCATCGCCCAAGTCACTCTGCTGTTTGCAAGCTGGCAGGCTGTCCTCACCATCAGCCATTCCGATTACCACTGAGCCACTGGGCACAGCTTTAGCAATTCATTCCCCCGCCCTGCTGCCCCCAGAAAGGGATAGAAGCAGGAAGCCATTTGCTGCGAAAATTGCCCGCCGCATCATCTGCCAGCCATTTTTTTGTTGCTGTTGAATGAGGGCATGCACAAGTTTGTGCTTCTGACAGTGCTGTGAAAAGTTTGTTTTTCAACAATCCACTTGTAGGGGTGACTCGATCGGTCAATGTCTTCCAAAAAAATGAAACCAGGCTTTTACGCGGGTGATAAACCCGGGCTTATTGACCAGGACTTCTGCCCTGGGCAGGACCAGGTGTTCAGAAGATCAGGAGTACAACTTCAACATGGGTTGTGGAGGAGAGTCCCAGTGAAAGAGGGTAACACTGGCTCTATTCTCTTGCAGGAAATGAGGGGGGCTTTCAAAACCAGGGGACAAAATTCCCTGGAACTCCCGCCCCCTCCTCCCTGGACATCATGTTTCGCTCCTCCCAAGGTGCTGAGTTCTGCTGCGTCACAGTAGTGGAAGCCATCTTTTCACCCAGAATGCCCCTTGGGATGGCACCACCTAGTGGCATGACAGCGCATGGCACTGTGAAAGCCAACGTGGCACAGGGGTTACAGTGTTGGACCGGGGCTGGGGGGGCCGAGTGCTAGTCCCTGCTTGAACGTGAAGCTCACCGGGTGAGTCTGGGTCAGGCACTCTCAACCTAGCCTTCCTGACAAGGTTGTTGTGAGGACACAAACGGAGAGTAGGAGAACCTTGTAAATCAAGGGCAAGGTGGGAGAGAAATTGCATGTAGCAGCAGCAGCAGCAATGCTCAACAGGTTAATCAGCAAGGTGTCCAGGAGCAACAGGAAAAGGGCATTTTGAACCTGGCCCGTCTCTCTTTCACAGTCTAGAAATGGAGGTGTAAAAGTCGATGGGTGTTTGCCGTCCTGTGGATGGGAGGATTCTCTCCCCACATCTGTTCTTCTCCTTTGTTGTTTCTTGGGACCATACAGCTCCCGTTTTACTCCTTGCCAATCCTTTTCACGAGGAACATTTCTGGAAGCAGTGCTGGATTTGGAGACGGCACCAGTTGCCAGCCACTCCCTGAAGTTTAAGCGTATCTGTCCCCTGTCCCTCCATCACTGCTGCACACACACCCAGGAATGGACCGGGAGAGGGAAGGCAGCCTTCTTTGAGCTCAGGGCTGTTCTGCCTAACTCGGACTGGATAATCGGAATATTCTGAGCTGGTAATCAAATGCTAAGTTGCATTTTTGGTGGGCTTCTGTCTGCAAGAGGGCCCACACTTTCTGCATATTTTAACCACTAATGTATTTTGTGCAAGTAAGTTTGCAAAACTACCATGGCTCCAGAACAATTTATTTTATTTTGTTTTATTTACACTTGTATGCTGCCAACAGGGGTCTCTAGGCAGCTTACAACAATAATCAAAACAGAATTCTTAAAAGCAATAAAGCCGTAAAAACATTATATAAAATATGATAATAAAATGGCAACAACATCATAGTGATTATTTAACGATGTGATGAGTTAAAAGGACAATCATATAAGTTAAAATCAGTTGTTAAAATACATAGTAAAGGGAAATGCTTTTGCCTGGCTGCCAATCTGCACAAATTGCGATTTGCACAAATGGCGATTTGCACAAATTGACTGATGCTATACAAATTAGCATCAGTCAATTTGTGCAAAAGCCACATGGTTTGCTGAACAGAATGGAGAGGACATTTTCCAGTCAAGACCAAGGAGGTATGCAGTGTGAATATGTTGCCTCCGAATCATGAAAGCTAGGCTTGTGCGGTCGATTACACCCCCAGAGTCTCCTTGCAGTCTGCCTTTGCATTTCTTTGCATGGGAAATGAATAGAAAATGTAATCAGCAAGTCAGAATTTGGGTCCTATATATCTCAGGAGATAATAACAATCCCCAAGGAGGAATGCAGGCCAATCTATGGACAGACAGGGAACTTTTCTCCTTATTTGCGGTGGATGGGAGGATCGTAATTTAATCTGGGTATGTGCCAGGAGCAATCTGAGGAGTCCACTCTTCCAGATGGAAGTCTGCTCTCCAGGTAGGCGGACGCTCATGACTAATGCACTTCATGGGGCTGTTGAGCAGCACTCTACTCCTGAAAGGAACAGTCAAAGAGCCCAGCGTTGCAGCAACTGAAAGGAATAAATTTCAATTTAAGTCGGATAAGAGAAGGGAGAGGGAAGGGGAAGTCCGCGCTGGCAGAGACCAATGGTCTTCACCGGAACATTCATTTTGATTGTGCAGCTGGGAAATAATTATCTCGGTGCCGAAGTTCAGGCATTGCCTCTGAAGGTAGACGGCGAGGTGGGAGGTGACTCGTGTTCCTTGCTTGTGAGGAGTGGCTAGAGAGCCTTGTGATGCAGGGAAGAATACACTGCTAGCTTGTCGTAGCTGCCCCAGGCCTGAAGGCTGCCCGGCACAGGCCTGCCCTTGCTCATGTCACCTGTAAGCCTAGTGGTTGGCAGAGCTGCTGTGACATTGGGGAATGTCGGGCAATATTCCATGGCTGCTGAAGGAGGGGAAGATAAGGTAAAGGATGCTGAAAACAAAGACACCTGCAGTGTGGGAATTCTGGGGAAGGGGATTGGAAAACGGGGAATAAAGACAGAAAAGCACTTTGGGTAGGGCACCCCATCCGGAACGATGGGCACTCAAGGTTGGCTTGTTTATGAAGAAAGGCCAGAGTTTCAGGACCTTGGATAGTTCTAAGTTTTCAATCAGACTTGAAATTCAGTGGAGGCTTTTGAACTCTGTTCTGGAGCAAAGGAAAGCAAAGGAACTTAATGGGGATCTCCACTTGCCCAGCACCAAGCACTTCATCAAGTTGCAGTCTGTTCATAGGCCGCACGCCCTGCTCTCCTCTAGGGCTGATGTACCAATTGGAACATGCTCATCTTTTGAGTTTTGCTCCCTTACCAATTTTGCAGCAGCGTTCTGACCTCAAAATGTGTTCCAAATCACATATGGAAATGCATAAAATGTTTTATTTAATATTATTCTGATTTATTTAAGCTGCTTCTCCATGGCTTGACATCTTTACATTTCCGAGTGGTTTACACAAAAACACGTACAATGCAAAAACAAATATAAAAATGGTATAGAATGATAAGTACCTTTAAAACACTGCAACAAAGACAGTAAAACAGAGCAGCGCCCTGAACAATTACAAATCAGGCAAAGTCTGAATCAGCAAAAGCATTTTAAAATGCACCTCTTGAACCACAGATGGGATACGCTTAGAAATGCATCTTTTGAACGCATTTCTTTTGTAGAAATACATTCAATCATGCCTATTTAACGAAGGATTTTCATGCAGATTTTTTAAAAGTCACAGATTAATGCAGAAATTGGATGAAGCAGACTTTTGAATAAACACATGTGTGAGTGACACAGGCCAGAATCAGATGGCGAGGCTGGCTGAACAGTTAGCAAATGAGATTCCACACGATTCAAAATGTAACACAGGTGTTGTTTGACAGTAAACAGGGGCACAAGAAGCTGCTGCAGGATAAGGCAAACTCTTCCTCCGTCTAGCCCAATATGGTCGACCCGAACTGCTGCAGTGGTTCTCTAGGTTTTCCAGCAGGTGTTTTTTCAGCCCCACCTGGAAATGCAGTGCGGGGTTGAACGGGCAGCTTTCCACAAACAAAGGAGGTGCTCCAGCATGGAACTTGCAATCTCCACAAGCGTCTCTGCAGAGTTGCAGGTGTGCTACCTATGTGTTTACAGGCCTACCCGAGACAGTGAGGAGGAAGAGGATGATGAGAAGAAAGGCAGAGGGTGCACCCTCCAGTACCAGCATGCCATGGTGCGTGTTCTGACCCAGTTTGTGGTGGAATCGTCCGAGCTTGGCGGCCAGCTGACGTACATGATTGGCTCTGAGTGGCAGTTCGACATCACCGACCTCGTAGCTGAGTTCATGAAGGTGGAAGAATCCAAAGTAGCCAAGCTACATGGGGGCCGAATTCTGATTGGACGGGAGCAAGGAATTACAACGGTTCAGGTACGAAGGCGCGGCTGAATGTCTGTAGAAAGCTTAGCTGCCGAGCTGCATTGCAGGGAATCTGGCACCTCCTGGGTTCATGCCCTGTACTGTAATTTTCACGGAAGTAATTCTACTGACTTGTCCTTCTGGGACAGTGATTCCCAACCTGGGGTATGTGTACTCCCAGCAGTATGAACCAGGGCATTTAGGGGTACAGGTCATGATTTGGAAAATTAATTAAACATTATGATGAGGTGCAGAACAAGTTTTCTTCAGTATTTAACCTTCAGAAAAGCCCCCTTCCCTTGCTTTGTTATTTTGGTCAATGGTGGGGATTGGTGAGAGGGCTTTCTCTTCTTATACCGTCATAAAAATAAATACCATAGTAAGCTGAATGCAGTTCCAGATTTAAAACTGTATCTTACATCAGTTGAACCAGATTTCCAAAACCTGTGTCTCAAAACAAGCTCAAGGACTGCTTGAAACATTTGTTGCATCTAAAATATTTGCTCTCTTTTATAACTATCAAAACATACGATATTTTTCAGTTGTTAATAAATTAAACTAGCAAATTTAATGTATTAATTAAAGTAATATAGTTTTTATGTAATCTGGGATGTATTTACTTGAATTCCTTGTATCTTTGAGTTTTGTATGTAAATATATGCATGTACTGTCTGTTCATCTTATTATTCCATTTTATTTACAGTTACAACACATAAATTTGAAATAGCAGCAACTATATTAATTGTAGATGTTTTGCTAATCTAAAGGATACAATTTATGGATATGGGCTGCCCAGCCATATGCAAGTTAAAAAAGTTGGGCCCGCTATTCTAGGACATGCTCATAATTTGTCTATAATCTAAAATGTCCCCAGAATTCAGCCTCTAGCCCTCACTCCCTGCATCATAACCAAATATGTCTGATGCCCAAATATACCCTAGAGACTTTATAGGAATAGTTCTATATTGTACTTTTGACTCCTAACAATAGGCTCCAAACAAGAAAGTTCAGTGCAGCTCCGAGTCTCTCTCTGAACGCAAAGTTTCTTAGCTAAAAAATCCAGCAGGCAGAATTAAAATCCATCCAGTGAAGGCTTTGCTTTGATTTTTTGAAGTTAGTAGGCCAAACTATTCTTATGCACAGAAAGGGTCAGCGGGCCAAGAATTGTTATGCAGATTTTCTGTTACACATAAGTGTTAGGAGGGACTCAACCTGAAATTATCTGTATTTGCTGAGAGCTGAAAGCCGTTCTTAGGCTGCCTGAAGAAGCCTCCTGGGAAAAAAGTCAGCCAGAACAAAAGCTTTTCATATCCAGCATTTTCCTAGCCTGAGGCGCTTTCATCTGGGGTCAACAGTGACCCCAAATGTGACTAGTGCCAGTTTTCTTTTGTTAATGCAGCACGAAGGGTAATACGGAGGAGAGATCAAAGCAGAGGAGACCCCTAGCATGTCCTGGTGGGCTTTCCACAGCTGCAAACTAGATGGACTCCGTAAAATATTCCCGTAAGCAAGTTCTTATGCCCCATGACTTACTGCAGATTTCATGCACCGCTTTCTGCAACGAGGGTTGCAGCCTGCAAACTTCCTTACGCAGGATGGCCTTTCTTTTGGCCTGAGGGCTGAAGTCTTGTGACATGTAAGGCTGAAGGCTGGCATATGGGATGTGTGCTTATAAAGCAAGAGGAGGTTGCTTCCCTGAGCAATTCTGCAGAATGCCACCTTCCAATAGGTTCCCTTTTGGTCATTGGGTCAGAAACAGGTTGAAAGTCCGCCAAGCTTAGATGGAACCAATTTTCCATTGCTGCTTGTCCCTCCTGTGGGAGAAATGGGATTAGATACAGAGCATCTCTGATCCCTGCTTAGCCACAACATACGATCTCTGGCTCTGGGCTGGCCGATGGCTCTTTCATGGGAATCTGTCTTTCTTTTTAAAAGGTCCTTTCTCCCCTCTCTGATTCCATTTTGGCCGAGAAGACAGTGATTGTCCTGGAAGACCGAGTGACCATTACGGACCTTGGAGTTCAACTCGTGGCAGGCTTGTCCCTCTCCCTCCAGACAAGTAAAGGGAACAAGAGGGTGATCGTAGCGACGGCATCGGCGTCAGATATTCTTCATTCACCAAAGCAGGTGAGAGGGGGCTGGGTTCAAGACTAAAGACTTGCCATCAAAGTCAATTAGAAGAGCAGAGTAGCGTAATTTCATCAGTGACTGAAAGGCCACAAGATAAACAGAGGATGTCAGAAGGAAGATAACTCAAGGGACAAGCTCATCTATACTTCAGGTAAATACCCACAGCCCCAGTGAAATTGAGGGAGGCAGCTACAAAGCTTGGCTTGGGTCTAGGGTTAGGATTAGGGGCAGGGGAGCAAAGCTGGAAAGTGGTTGCACATAAGTGCAAGTGTAGCAAATCTGCCTCCGTGTACTTGAAAAGCAGAAAGGTGGGATGATGTCGATGAAGGATTCCGCTTGTCCATTACGCGATCTATGAGGGCTAGAAACATCAACTTGATTTTTAAGAGAAAAGAATGCATGCTGAGGTGCTTAGGGGGAGATAATCTGAGGTCAACTTCCTCAGGCTTCCTCCATTTCCACCGCAAAGAGTGATCGGATCTCTTGAATGCAGAATCGTGCTTGGAATCTGGTCATGGCGACGATCCCCACATTTGGGCCTCACTTGGGAAAGCGAGGCTTCCCCTTGAAGGGAAATAGCAGCTCCTGAAGACCGAGAAAATGGTGCCAAGGGTTATTCCTCTCCTCCAATGCTGTGATCCCCATCCTAAATGTTATTTCTATTTTTAGGATTAATTTGTTGTAAACCGTCCCGAGGCATCTAAGTTTGGGACGGTATAGAAAAGTTATAAATAAATAAATAAATAAATAAAATGATAAGCCTTCCCTGCTCTGTGACTGCCATTTTCTTGAAAGCAAGCAAGCAAGCAATTGTATTTTTATGTAAGCTATGCAGAGATTTTCTTCAATACAGTCAAAAGCATGCAAATGCGTGAAAGGAATGGTCCCATCGAGACAGTCCAGTCCTCCAAGCTCAGAGGACTTGGGTCGTCCCAGGCAGGGCAGAAGGAACGTGGAGGGGAAGGTCAACTCCAGACCCTTTGCACCATGCAAAGCACAGGGATAGTCGATTTCGGCCATCCAAGTGTCACGGCTTGGAGTGCAAGGCAGGGAAAGTGAGGCCCAAGTTGGCTGTCATGGCACTGCCTGTTTCCTCGACTCTCTGCACCTCTGAATGCCCCCGGAAACCTGTCCCTCTTGTGACTTGAAGACACCACAAGTGTGTCTCCTTCTGTGCTGGCTCTGACCATGCCGGGGGAGAGTGGTCCAAGGTAGGAGATCCAGCTTTCTGGGAGATCTCATGACTGTCCAGACTTTTTAGTACTGAAAGGGATTGCACCGTAAATTGGTGCATAAAATCAAAGAAATTTGACCGTCACTTTCTTGCTTATTAGATCCTTCCGTGATGGCACTGTTTCAGGCAGTGCAGCCGCTCAGCTTTTGTGCTTGTATCTTCCCACTCCCATTTCCTACTGTAGGAAGCTGCGGTCAGTGCTTGGATTTTGTTCAGCGACGGCACTGTGACACCCTTGGACATATATGATGCAAAGGACTTCTCTCTCGCCATCACATCACTGGATGAGATGGTGGTCTCCGTCCACCAAAGTCAGGAGGATGACTGGCCCGTGGTGGTGGCAGAAGGGGAAGGCCATGGTCCACTTGTCAAAATTGAAATGGTGATCAGTGAGCCTTGCCAGAAGTCAAAGCGGAAGAGCAGCCTGGCAGTTGGGAAAGGAAGTATCAAGGTCAAGTTTGGTCAGAAGGATGCTGACCACAAAGGGGATGCCAATGATGTGGAAGATGCTGAGGCTGGCTATAAAAGCCATGGGGACAATTCTATTGAGAAGTCATTGGAACAGGAAAGGTCGGGGCAAGACTGGTCCAAGCCTGGAGCCTCCATGAATCAAGAAGATATGACCAACCAAAGCACAACTTCTAAACCTCCCATCCAGCAGAAAAACACCCATGGAGATATCCAGATACACGGTGGTCCAACCTCCTTTACTAGTTTTCCCATGCAAGTTGATGTTCCTGGGCAGAACAATCCCAGTGACCTCACGTTTGCATCCAGGGGTTTGACAGATCTCGAGATCGGCATGTACGCTCTCCTGTGTGTCTTCTGCTTAGCCATCTTAGTCTTCTTAATAAACTGCGTGGCATTTGCTTGGAAGTACAGGCACAAACGGTTTTCCGTCAGTGAGCAAGGCAACATCCCACACTCCCATGACTGGGTGTGGCTGGGAAACGAGGTGGAACTCCTGGAGAATCCGGTGGACATCTCGCTCCCCTCAGAGGAGTGCACCACCATGATAGACCGAGGGATGCACTTTGAGGAGAGCAATTTCCTCCTCAACGGGAGCTCTCAGAAGAACTTCCACAACCAGATCCTTCGGTCCGCAGAATATGTTTGTGAGAAAGATCTCAAAAATGAACCGATCAATCCTCCTGGGCCCAAGCGGAAAAGAGTCAAATTCACTTCCTACACCACCATCCTGCCAGAGGATGGGGGACCCTATACCAACTCCATTCTGTTTGACAGTGACGATAATATCAAATGGGTGTGTCAAGATATGAACTTAGGAGATTCCCAGGAACTTAGAGACTATATGGAACGGCTGCAGGACAATATGTAAAACAAAGACAAACACACACAATTATATAAATATATGAACTTTCTTATGTTTGTATTCACCTTTATGCCTTCTGTTTTAAGGATGAGGGTCCAACCCAGCCAGCAATAGGAGAAGGCTCTCCGCATTTTTGGGAGGTCCAGCGATAACAACTTTGTATCCATTTGGTCAAGTGCAGGAAAATACTGGCGGTGTCACCCCCTGTTTCATCAGAGGCTGTGCACACCTCCAGAGCAATGACATGCAAACCTTGGAGGGGGTGCATGGAGCCAGCTATTGGGTTGTACCCCTGGATGCCGATCCACCTGCACACAGACTTGGAGAAGATGGGTTGGTGTGTCATGTTATGATGAGTTACTACTTTGGAAAATGAACAATTTTGGGGGTGGGGTGGTGATTTCTTTTCTAGCAAACACTCTTTATAAAAGCACAGTAAATATTCTCTGCTTACAGCCAGAATCTAGGCTCCTCTCGAAGGATCAGAATGAATCGGCCTCATTGAATCTGTTTATAAGAAATACAGGCAGATACATCCATTTAGGTTTTTTTTCTCCTTTCCTTCTCAAAAATATATATATTTATCCTGGTGATTAATTTGTTTCACTGTACTATTTATATAGCTTTCTTGGTTTTAGGATATATTTACATAATTTCTTTGGAAGAGCCTTTTCCCACTCTGGTTGTACCAAAGTATACTGCAGTAGTTTCCGATTAGGGCTGCATTGTTTGCTGAATAAATCAAATACAAATGTGAATGATGGAACATGTGCCCCATTACTAATTGGGCAGATTTCTCCAAAAACGTTAAGGACTCATTCCTATGTACTTTTAGACAGAAAAGGTCCGAAAAATCCCATTATTGGTGTCGGAAGCCTTTTTTCTGTCCTGAATTGCATGGGATTGCACCTGGAATGTTTTCAATGAAAGTACTTAACAATGCATCTCAGTGAAGGCATTTCCCCTTTTTTCTCACGCGTTTGACCAGTGGTGCACTGGAGGGATATCTGGTAGATGTGCAGCCCCGAAACCCTTTTCAGTGAAAGAATGGGACAGATTCTCCTCACATTCCCAACTGGGGAGGTTAGAATCCATGAAAGCCAAACCTGCCAAAATTCTCTGACTTCCACCTTGAAGCTTGTTTCAACACGAGGCCATACCAGACTGCAACTTTGCATTTTTTTCCCTTAGCCTATGATTATCCATGTGTATTTTTGTGCATATTTTTCCAACTGTATGCATCAAGTGTGTGCATCTTTGAAATGTACACAGTCTTATCCTGTGGATTAAAGCATATTTGTGCACATTTCCCCAAAGTACTCATTTCTTTATGCACATTTTTCAAATATACACTTGCTGTTGAAAGTGTCTTTTTAGACCACAAATCACTTTGCACGATCGGAAAGAGGGGTACTTTGACTTCAGGGTCCAGAGGGGGCAAAATCAGTAAATCCGGACCAAATAGATCTAAAATGTATTACTCAGCATAAAGCAAACCAGAGAAAACGACTAAGCAGAGGCTGGCTAATTCTTACCTTTCCTTTGATGGCGTTCCTTTTTCATGGTAGCTGTTTAAATGATAATTTTTGCAAAGCTGTTTGCCTTATATGTTCAAAATGAAAGCAGAGGCTTAGTGAAAGCTCAACATGTTACACAAGTGGAGCCTCTGCAGTAAAAACAAACTTTACTGAGATCGACGAACTCACTCCCAGAGAACTCTACATAGGATGCTAATAAATTGGGCATTTTGCTCAGCACTGCTTCTTTGTGGGGTGTGTGTGTGTGTTGAAAGCCGATCCGGATATCTTGGTAGGCCACTGGGGGAGATGAGGAAGGGTTTTGAGAGTTGCTGGCTTCTCCTCATTTAAAAATTGCAGGTTAAGCTGCAAATGTGCGCAGAAATTCTCACCGTGACGAATCACTGTAAAATCTGAGAATCAGTTGATTTTCTTTGACCAAGCAAGTCTTTAAGAAACTTTCCTGTCCAGTTTGAGAGTGCTGTGCTGAAATGCCTGACCTGTGGAAACTCAGAGGTAGATTTATAGTTGTAAAAGTTTTTGCTTCCCGAATGCACGTTTTGAACTTGCTCCACCTCCTTCCTTGCACACCTGGACACGTTTCTCTAGGTAGGGATGCACTGATACTGGGGAGGTCAGCTTAAGTTCAAGAGACTTTCTGCTTGCTTCCAATCCAAGGATTGGAAGTGGGCTGAGCCAGGCTGTTCCCTCCCTCATAGATGTCCTCCTCTGAGAAAAATGGTTTGCATATTTTCTTCTAAATACTACATCAATTCGCACGAATTGCACAATTTGTGCAAATGCTATTTGTGCAAATACCATGTCCTACCTGATTTGCTGGAAACCCCATAGTTTCAGTAGGATTTCCACGAAGCTTGCTTGACCTGTATGATTTTTGGCTTCCAATTTGTGCTCATAACATGAATAGTACAATTTCCTCAAATTTCCTCTTTCTTTCTTTTTTAATATGCAATGCATGGAACATCTTAGGGATGAAAGTCCATCAGCTGGCTCATCTCAGATTCGTCACCCCTCATTGGACTACTTGCATGCCCCTATATCTGGGTTCTAGTAAGTGAAGTTTCCTGCCGGTTATGCAGTATTTTGATGAGCTCTGCCACTCCACCACTGTGCAGGAGGGTACGTCTTGTTTAACATACAAGATGCCTCTCCTAAGATGCAAAATTGAAAAAGCCAAACAAAAAGTACGCTTTGTTCTTCACCACCACTGTGTTTTGCTTATATGCAAAGTTATACTGGACTAATCAATTCATTGGGGTGCAGGTGGCGCACTGGTTTAAACTGCTGTGCTGCTGGGCTGGTTGATCGGAAGGTCGCCGGTTCGAATCTGCACAACGGGGTGAGTTCCCATTGCTCTGTCCCAGCTACTGCCAACCTTGCAGTTCGAAAGCATGCAAATGCAAGTAGATAAAAAGGTACCACTTCGGTGGGCAGGTAACAGCATTCTGTGCACTTTGGTGTTTAGTCATGCCGGCCACATGATCATGGTGACTGTCTGCGGACTGGCTCCCTTGGCTAGGAAATGGAGATGAGCACCGCCCCCTAGAGTCAGACATGACTGGACTTTAATGTCAAGAGGAAACCTTTACCTTTAATCAATTCATTAACTGGTTAATCCATTAAAACTCATAGGATTGATTCATTCGATTTTCTTTAAATTATCTGACAGCCCTAATTTGTATGTTTGAAGGCTTGTTTTTGTAGCTGCTTGGTATTAGTCCCTACTGATATCTCTTCGGTTTCTTTCGTTCTTAGAAAAATACAGAAAAGGTGCAAATCTTTCACTAGAGGAAGTTCTATCTTCTTACTGGGAAAGTAGATATACATTTTTAAAGACAAAAATGGCAGGGAGGCAGGAGGCTGAGAAGAGAGTATTTTACCAACCATTCTGGGTTTTGACTTTGAATGCATCCCCCAAACTGCTGCTCTCTAAAAATTTTGGACTACAGCTATCCTCCCTGACCATTGGCCATGTTGGCTAGGGCTGACAGGAGCTGTGGTTTAAGACAACTTTGGGGAAGGATGGTTTACATTACCAAAAACTGATGGCCCATGATGTACCCACCATGTTGGATTAAGCAGGCCTGGCCTTCGTCAATGCCTAGATGGGTGACCAACTGCTTGGGAACACCATGTACATCATCTCAAGATCCACTGTGGAAGAATAGTAATAAATAACTTATGAACAGATTAAGCCCACGGGAAATTGAGAAACAACTGCAGTTAAAAGTGAAACAAGATTAGATTAGGACAACTCTTCATCTACACTATGGTCATAAAACAGTGCGCAAGCTTTTGAGTTGTTCAGAGTACTTTATCACACAAGGTGGTAAACAAAATAAAATTGAAATGTGGGGATGGAAAAATGACTGATGTTTATTTATAGCCGACCATCTTACAAAATTACAAGCACCACGTTTTATAGTCTAGAGATAAATTAACAAGGATACCACTGACATTCAGATTAGGCTCTATCAAGAGCTGATGCATGTTTAGCTTGACCCTGGAACATCTGGGTTGCAGGACCAAAATAAAGAACGGTCAGCCGTCCAGCTCTGAAAACACAGTACCATCCTATTGTGACCATGAACCTGGGGGACCCACTACTCATTCAGTGGGGCTTCGGCACTTCTACAGGTAAGCTTGAGTCCTGAACAGGGCAGATCAGTAGAACCTGTGCCACTTCTGGTTATTTTGGGGTTGATTTTAGAAGTTCCAGTGCCACCGTTGGGTGTTCTGAGTGGGAAAAGGAGAAAAGCCATTTTGAAGCTGGCTTAATCTAGCTGTCTTAACCTAGCTCAGCATCCCCAAGGCCGAAAATTGTGCCGAATACCGTGTGCTCCAGAAAGCCTGAATGCAGGCCATGGCAATGGTTGCTTGAGACGAAATAGGCAAGGAGATGGAGATGGAGGCAGGACGTGCTCCAATGGAGCAAAGCTCAGGGAGCCAAGGTTCCATTTGGATGCAAGGAAGCAGTTCCTGACAGTGAGGACCCCAAGGGTGTGGAATGGGCTTCCACGGGAGGTCATTGAGGCCCCATCGGTGCGGGTGTTCAAGGATAGGCTGGACGTCCACATGGTGGGCATGTTGTGAGCAGAGCTGGCTGGTGCCAGAGGTCAGACTAGATGGCCTGGGAGGCCCCTTCTGACTCACTCTGTTTCTATGTGGGATATGATTGTTTGGCTATTGTGTTGTATAGACCTGGGGAGAGAAGGAGATTTGTACTGAGCGAGGCTCTGGTTCTGTGCAGTTGGAAAGGCTCTTGGTTTCCTCTCTCATGCTCCTCCAGATGTTGTGGGACTATCACTCCCATTGGCCCCGGCCAGCATGGCCAGTGCTGAGGGATGGGGGGGTGTTGTAGTCCAACAGCAACCCATGCCCTGGCATTACTTTTCTAAGGATGACCATCCAGCCTATGGAAAACAGTGGGTTCCATGCTGCTTGGAAGGTGGGTTAGTGGTTGGTTTT